CTGGGGTCCATGTTCTCTGTCCCGCAGTTCGTGGAGCTCATCGGTTCGCTCCTCGCCATCTGCTGCATGATTTTCCTGGGCTTTGCAGATGACGTTCTGAATCTGCGCTGGCGCCACAAGCTCCTTCTTCCTGCCATGGCCTCCCTCCCGCTGCTCATGGTTTACTTCACCAACTTTGGGAACACGACCATCGTGGTGCCTAAGCCCTTCCGGGTGCTGCTGGGCATGCGCTTGGACCTGGGTAAGTTCCGAATCACCAGAAGCCATCGTCCAAGCGGCGAGCGATCGGTGGGCTGCAGAGGGAGGAACGCAGGAAGGATTTGCTTAAATAACCAGTGAGAGGGCGCAACTCCCCCGCTAAACGTAAGGCCCGGAATCAGCATCCAGAAACCAACACGCGTAGATAAGCGCCAGTCGTTTTTCCAGGATTCTGGCGATACAATCGAGCGCTAGGCGCGTGCGGCGCTCAGCTGCTGACACCAGAACGACCGAAAGCCAGAAAGGGAGCGCTACGGTCTGCCACCGCGTCGCAACGGTTTGCCGCTGTCACTGCGTTGTACGCGCGTGAGGGCCGATTCACAGGGGAGGGAGCGATTTATTTAGTACTGTTACCGCTACCAAAACTCAACGAGACGGCTAGCTATTGGATTGTCGGACACAGCAGGAAGCGAGAGCTTCGGTGAACTGGACCGGGGCCGGCTTCGCCTCCGAATACTAAAGCGCTCGGCTCGCTCTGCTCTGCAGGTATCCTCTACTACGTCTACATGGGCATGCTAGCAGTGTTCTGCACGAACGCCATCAACATTCTCGCTGGAATTAATGGAATTGAAGCAGGGCAGTCGCTGGTGATAGCCGCTTCCATTATCATCTTCAACATCGTAGAGTTAAACGGTAAGGAAGATAACGTGCAAGTTTGTGGGTGCAAAAAACAAAGGGAGATAGAATCCTAGATTGCGATATCTGGTATTGCTAAAAATCACCCGCTCCTGTCTTGTCACAAATGCATTTTTTTCTTTTTTCTATAGGGGATTATCGAGATGATCACATTTTTTCTCTCTACTTCATGATTCCCTTTTTTTTTACCACGCTGGGGCTGTTTTACCACAACTGGTAAGAGGACAGACGTTCAGAGTTTCTTCGGAAGCGTCCTTTCCCTTTACTTTCTTCCTTTTCAAGCAAAAAAACCCCACTTACCGACGCGCAGGCGGGACATGCTAGAGCGTAGACGGGCTTCTTGCTAGAACCAAGAGCGCAAAGCATCAATGCACCAGTAGCTTTTCTTCTTATTAGAACAATTCCGGTCACGCCAGCTCCCCAAAATGCACAGAATACGCTCCCTCGTATGTCTCGCTAACCGTTTTTTCATACCGTATTCACTGCGAGTCAGGTCGCGGGTCCCGGTCCTGCAATTCTTCACGTAAACACCTGCGATTGTTGCTTTTACCGCGTAGATCTGCTGCGGTTCCCTCTTGACCCCTAACCTACCACGCGGGAATACGTTCAGCGACTATGAAATCATTTTCACAGCGACAGCGATCGTGACAGACCTTTGCTTTTCTGTCCTGGGGATTGCAGGTACCCATCTCAAGTGTTTGTCGGGGACACCTTCTGCTACTTCGCTGGCATGACCTTCGCCGTGGTGGGGATCTTGGGGCACTTCAGCAAAACGATGCTGCTTTTTTTCATCCCGCAAGTGCTCAACTTCCTCTACTCGTTGCCTCAACTCTTCCATATCATTCCTTGTCCCCGCCACCGGCTGCCAAGGTAACGTACCCGAGCGACCTGCAACGGTACCACAGATCGCGCCTTTTATCTCCAACGCCAGCTGAGAAAGGTGGTGGTAGGTGCTCCTTTTAAAAGCCATCAGAGTAAGCGTTCTAGTTGAAAGTTAGCCGGCTCGCTTTGCCAGCTACAGTCAAGTTGTACTGTTGAAGTGTCTCAAAGAAGTTAAGTTTTCTCACCGCCCACACCCCCACCCCCCCTGCCAGAAGAGTAATTTTTAGCAAAGTTGGAATAAGATTATTCTCAGCTACAAGACTGAGAAAAAATTGATACAGGCACATTTAATGCTGTTGCAGCAGGATCTGCTAAGATTTCGTGGTAGCGAGCACTCTGTGGCACATCAGCGATCGTCTCTATTTTATTTTAAAACTGTACAGCTTTACGCCTGTATTGGGGGTGCAGTGGGGAGGAATCTCCTCCCAACTCCGGCCCATCCGAGGGACCAGGTATCAGCAGCTGCTATTACGTGTATCGGATTACTCCTGCTTTTTCCATCGCTGGATTTCTCTCTCAACTACTCGGCAAGGGATCTAAGTCTGCTTACGTAGGGATCGCTCTGTCTCCTTGCTCTATCCAATTTAAAATTTCAATGTTTCTTTTAGGCTCAACCCTAGTACAGGGAAGTTGGAGATGAGCTACTCCAAATTCAAAACTAAGAGCCTCTCTGCCCTGGGAACAAACATTCTGAAGGTAATAGCCAGAAAACATTCAAAATCCAGACGCATTTTGAGGTGGTCAAACGCGAGAGGAACGGGATGGGAGGGAATGCGGAACTTCAGGGTTCGCTAGTTATTTCCTGGCTCAAATCCAGAAGGAAATACTCTGCTTAGTCCGCCACCATCCCTCACGGTCACTCGATTGTGTAAATAACCTTTCAGAATAACCGCACGTAGCGGTGTCCCAGGACCATCGTAAGCCTGTCCTCTTTTTAGTAAGAGCACAAGCGAGGCTCGGGGGTGGGACAGCAAAAGACATCTTTAACCATAATCAGCCAGTGAGCACCAAACATACCTGGTGAAACAGCGTGCGATATTTCTTTTCCTAGGCAGTCAAGATCTTGCACATAGTAGATGTGAGGAGTGGAACGGATGAAGATGGCGAATACACGGAGTGCAATAATATGACTCTTATTAACTTTGTTATAAAGCTGATTGGACCCACCCACGAGCGAAATCTCACTCTCCTGTTGCTACTCATTCAGGTCAGACAAACGGTTCCTCCAGTAGAAAGATGTACTCTGCAATAGAAACAGATCCAAATCGGTCTCAAGAGTTCCAAGGGGAAAGGGGGAAATAAAAGTATCACGCTCTTCACACAAGATGCGGTTGAGCTGCGGAACTTGAGGAGAATCAGAGGTTTGCGCGGCTCAAAGAGGAAACAGTTTCCTCCCCCCCTCCTCGTTCTTTGAAAGCTAATAAATACAAAGTCCCTGGGTTACCTCGAGAAGATTCCCAAGGCACAAATCATCGGATGCTAGGAAAACATTAAGAAAGCAGAGTGCCTTGTCACTCTGACCCAATACAGCCTTTTTCCACGTTCCTGGGTTTCAGTCATACCAAACACACACAGTCCCGGCATTACCTCCGGCCGGTGGACTCACGTAAGCACGGCGCACAGCTTGGCAGTATCTGGAATCCGAGCGGGGCGTGGAAGCGTTTTGAAGCAACTTAGAGCGCACGGATAACGTGCCTCACAGAAACTGCCGCTACCGCTATTCGGCACGCGAACTCCCGTGCATAATCTAGCAGAAACGCCGCTTTTAGAAAGGCCTGCATTGCTTAGTTGACCACAATCCAATTCCTTTTTCATCCTCGGATCAAAGATAAGAGATTCTTATTAGGAAAGAAGAGGTCCTTAGCCAAATTCCCATTTGGGAGGAAGGGCTTCCAACAAACCAACCTGGAGACCGAACAGGGCTTAGGCAGACCGCATCGGGGGTGGGAAAGGAGGGGAAGTACATACCGCTTGATCTTGTGCCCAGTCACAACAGAGAAGTCGTGGCAGGGCCTTCTCGTCGGGATGCTGAACGGCAGCTTTGACGGGAGGTATTTTCCATTACAAACCATTGGGTTTACATTCTAATCTAGGCTCCTTAAGAAGGAAAGAGTCATTCCCAACCGTTCGCCTCGTCTGTGCGACGTGACCGCGCGCGGGCACACGGAGAAACCCCCCGTGGATAGATGCGATTCTGAGAGAGAACCGAGGACTTTGGCTAGACTTCTGCCTTTCATCTTTCTACGTCTAAAAATTTTGCCTTAATGTTTCCATTTTCTGTCCGTTTTTTACCTAGGTCCTGGGCAGCACGATTGCATTTTCAATCCGGTACCAACTAGTGCGCTTGTTTTATGACGTCTGACCGGGCTGTCGAGAGCAGGGGA